GTCTGGAACAAGAACACATGTGGGTGGGGCTTGATTCATGTGAGTGACAGGTTAAAGCCCCGCCCACATCATCAGAGAAGAGACGCTGCAAGAGGAACTGATTCTCATTCAACATTATTAACAGCATAATGATGATGTGCACATAAATCATGTCGAATAAACACTGCAAGACTGAACATTGAGGGTTAAAATGGAAATTTAGACATTATTTATAAAAGTATTAATTTACTTTTAAATAAAAAAATCTTACATGGGATTCAAAATAATAAAAACCTTATAAAAGTGTTATGCAGATCACAAAAACCAAGTGTACAATTCTATTTGTGCCCTATTAAGGTCTGTGTACAACAAGGATGATATAACTATAACGATAACGGTGTAGTTAAATTACTTTAAATATAAAAGAATATCAGAGTCCACATCATGACTATAACGATAACAGAGCAAAACTATGGCTTGTTTTCCAGCTGATGAACGTAAAAATCACGGACAGCCAATCAGAATCCATCTTTCTTTAAAGAGCTCCGGCATTTAAAGTGACAGACGACTCGACAAAACAGTAGATATTATGTGAACGCTAATATAGTTATCGTTATAGTTCTCGTAATTGGTGTGAATGGGCATTGATCCAGTTCTTCTGAAGCCACGCAATAGATTTGACATGTTAAGTTTGCAATGACGAAAAATACTTTAATTAATGTGAAATAATATGAAGAATTAGCTTTAAATTCAATTGAGGTTTATTTTTTTGGACAGTGTTTGTGCTTTAATCAATGCAGGTCAAGCCTGTTCCTGTCACGAGCTCTCGGGATTAATATAAGACTACAATTCATTTCCAGCAGGGTCTTTACTTTCATAAAGCAGCTTCTCATTGGTTTCCAGATAAGATGGGTCGAATATAAAAACCTTGAGCGCGCTTTATGGCATCCAAACAAACCGCAAATCATGGCTCTAAAAAGTTTTTTTAGAAGAATATGAGGGACACATTGGCTGCTTCCTCAGTCGATTCTTCTTCTCTATGTTTTGTATTTGTTCTTGAGGAAAATGAGTAATAAAAAGAAGGCAGTGCTTTAGAGAAATTGAATTTTCATATTTCATGAGCATGGTGTGGAAACGTCTATGCAGCGGCGTGTCATATCTTTCCTCTCATCCTCAATCAATCATCCGTCGAATCTGCTCTTCAAACATCAGCTCCTTTAAAACGGGAAACTATCTCATTAAAGAAATCCATCTGTAGACAGCCCATGAAGATAGTTTATTAAAATTTGGCTCATTTTTTTCGTATATTACAAACTTTAGCTTTTGCTCAGCCATGACAGTAAAATGAAAATCACATCATGTATTTGAAAGAGTCCAGTGAACATTTAATTATGACTCAAACAAGACGGTGATCCATATATACAGTACATCGATCCCTGTGTCGCCATGTGATGAAAGATCTTCTGAAATACAAATCCAGGGTTTTCTCTTGATGGAACGGCTTCTCTCTGAACCAATGACTCTTCACATGCAGAAATCATCATAAGTATATCCAGAGATCCATACCAGTTGTTGTTTTGGGAATATCTCCAATAAATATCCAATATCTCCAAAGGTTTGGCCAAAACAACGTCCCACAGCCTGTGTACGGACGGAAAGTCTTTCCCACACAGATCGCAAAATAGACACATTTCTTCTCTTTCAATTCATTGTAATCCGACACATGTACAACTTTTCCTTTCTGAGTAAAAAAAAAAAAGAAAAACAAGAATTGGAAATAAACCATGCGGCTTGTTTTAGTTTACAGTGACTTTACACAGGCTGTACAAGGCATCAAATATACTCATCTAAAACTTTTGAATTAAATGATTTGATTTTGTGATAGCTAACCACAGGTGTCCTGCGTTACTGCGGATGGACTCAGATTAGGTGTTTTGTCTATTTACAGCACACACAAATGTGGATCATCATCATCGTGTTCCCTATTTAAAGTGCCGCCTTAAAGTAATAAAGTTTTATGTAGATCAACCAACTCAAATCAACAAACCTACGCCGTACATTACCGTCGATAGGAGCTGCTCTCAAAGTCACACATGCCCATAAATCTGGAGAATTTAGAGGTTCCAGCTGCTTTTATGATTAGTCTTCCAATTATGAAGAGTACAATTTGGCAAGAATCTTGCTGAACAACCTTCTATCGCATGACCCGTCTCATTATTCAAAGACATACAGTATTTTGGTGTACTTTTTGTCCAGTGACCTCATTTGAGCATCAGGATCACACAGCCACCATAGTACAGACTAACAGTTTACATTACAGTGTCCCTGTTCGAGCTACAAGCCAGAAACGCCAACACAGCTATTTGTGTCCTACGCCATCAAAACGCAACCGTTTTAACACATCTCAAAGGTGTTTTTGGAGGGAACTTTTAGGGTTTAAGTTGACATCATTTACTAAACCCTTTATTATTTCCTCATCGATTTCACGTTTCCATGAGAGTCAAATCAGCATTATAGGAAACTAAAACTGCTAAAACTAAAACAGCTAACATTTTATAAAAAGGTTGCAGTTCTTGTTTCTTCTCTCAAAAAAGGATGACAGCACCTTCAATGCATCATGAATTAGCCCGTTCTAGTCGTGCACTGTTATTCGAAATCGTATTTTATAACTTTGTGTCATTATTCACTGATAATCCAGCATTACACTCGCCCTCTTTTAAACATTCAGAAGTTTTTGCCTCAAGAATCATTGCAACCAATCTTTGGCTGTGAGAATTGCGGCATGCCAAGCATTATTAAACATCTACATAAGATTATAACTATACTGCTATAATCATAATACAAAACATTTGTATCAAATATGTATCAGAGGTTTATTACTGAGGTGAGAAGCGACATTTTTTTTCTGGAGCAAGATAAAAATCGCTATGGGGTCGTTTCCTTATGTGACTTTCTTGTTAACAGCATTTCAAGTTGCTGTTGGGAGATTCCCATGTGTTGTGTTTTAATCCCAGTGTAATCCCTATACAACTGCCCCGAGAGCCAAAACTGAGGAACAAACTTCACTATGGGTGAGGAAATGAGTTGTTTTTGAAAACCGAGCACAGATTTGGCATACATGAGGGTCTAATGTGTTTAGTAAACAGTCCTGCAATGTGCCCATCTCAGCGGTCTTTGGTTAAATTATATAAAAACACCTCCAGACATCAAACATGAGCAGAATGTCAAACAGAATGAAATCCATCAACCGCAGCTTCAGTTTCCTTTCCAAACATTCCTGTAGGGACGTCTTGTTTTGTTTTGTTTTGTTGATTACACAGTGTTGGTTAAATGTCACCATCTTATTTCCAACCAATTCTGTCACATTTAAAACATGGTGATGAGAGCATCAGGTGATGTCATTTTAAAGGGGCTATGACATTAGAAAGAGTGGTGCAACGGACCTCAAAACCGTGGTTCTGGTCATTTTTCTGATCCAAACGATAAAATTTCACTCAATGATGGTTAAACTTAGCAGTTAATCTGCGAAACACATGCGTGCCGAACCGTGGGGCATCAGCTGCATTCCACTAATTAGAAGTCAGATTTGCCTTTTGACATATAAGAGGTCTCTGAACCATTAAAACTTTAAAAGTTTAATAGTTTAAATCGTCTTTCTAATTATACAAGAAGCTCCAAAAATCTCTCGTTTTGTCTACATTTGCATATGCCCGCCTCCAGAGCAAGACATCAACCAATAGTTATACATCATAACATCACAGGCCCCGCCCATTGGTGTTTAGTCGCTTGACGGCTGACATTTGCCAACACTGGATGTGAGTGTCGCGTCAAAAGCAAATTAAACCCATTATAATGACTGACGCTGTCTACACTGGTACAGTATACAGATGTGTGTTCAGTTTCTGTCGACTACAGGACAAAAGGAAGAGAGAAAGAACGTTTGCATTGATCGTCCAGTTTAAACAGCTGGTTTGCATCTCTGTTCAGTGTTCAGACGGATCCCAGCGTCCGAAACAAGTCCGCAAAAACGTTTGTTGACAGATGAAGCAGAGACTGTGTTGATCTGACAGCAGAAGAATCACAAACCATAATAACGTTATAAACATGACAAGTGAACCTCAAGCAACAATAAAGTCATTTAAACAATAAAATCCATGTCATGACCCCTTTAATGAAGCTTTCAGCCTACATCACGGACACATTCGTCTCGAAACATTCAGTCTGACCCTGATTTAGCAGATGTGATGTGTCGGTCAGGTTGTTCTGGGAATTAGAGGACGTTTTAGTGACATATTGTGTTCAGTCACTGAATAAACATCTTCTTTGTGATGTTAAATGACTAGAGTATATGTTTGTTTGGAATAAGTGCCTTTGGCACAAGAACAAGGCTAAAAACACTCATTTCCAAAGTGTCCCGCAAAGCCGCCTCTCCCATTGCTTTAAGGAAAAGGGATCCTTCTTTGATAATTCACAGCATTTGCAAAAACGAAAGGACAAAATATGTTAGCCATGAAATACTAAGCTATTCCTTTTTAAAGAGAGGGGAAGAGAAAACCAATCGTAAAGAGCTATTGATTTTGTCCGCTTTAGTGGAAATCCATGATACGTGATTTTGAAGACGGTAAACACACTGCGGAAATGACAGTTGCTTCAAGAGGTGAAAAGCAATCATCTTCAACACTTAAACAGAGGTGAATCATACTTGAGATGTTTAGAGGACACAATCACAACATTCAATAGCACTGGAGGTCATGGACCACCTTTAGTGATTTGAAGGTTGAAAGCTCAGAACACATTTATTTCAATCAATTTGTCCGACCCTCAACTCTCCAACAAAAGTAAGAAGAGCCAAACAAACAACAAGTCTCAACCCACCTACACTGAAACGACGCTTTTAAATGACACTATTGTGTGTGATTCAGTTTCCAGCCATAGACTACAACGCTCACATGCTACATGCTAACTGAACATGGAAAGGCACGTGAGTTCACAACGCTACTAACAGGACGGAGGGGCGAAAGGAATATACTCACATTTATTATGCCGAAAAGAAATCAAAAGCACATATTTAAGCAAGAACGTCTGCATTAATGCAGCGTAAACACGGTGATTTACCACATCGAGAGCGATCCAGAACACAACATGTACGAAAGCCGTGGAGCCGTTACTTTGTTTTCAAGGCTGTTTTTGCATATGAATGAATGGCAGCTGTACAGAGTCGAGGGAATTTGAAATCAAATACTATATATATATATACTGTATATCTGTTCATATATTCATATGTTACACAAATATAGACTCTTCGGAGCAATGTATTAAATTCACAGCTGGAGATAAAAGGCCAACAAAACAAAGAAAAACAACCAAAAATATATATGGGGCGCAAGATCCCATAAGAGTCCGTGTCCGTGTGTGTGTGTGAGTGAGTGTGTGTCTTCTGTTTGATTTGGAGCGTGAAGCACGTGTCCACTATGGCAGTTTCCGTCTCCTATAGGCTTTTTAAAGAATAGTGCTTCTGGTGATGATCATTAGACTACATTGGGTGCAGTGGTTTGAAGTAAGGGTCGGGACGCTCCGTTCAAATAGCAGGCAATTTTCTCTTGGCTCTGAAATAAGAGTGATTCAGGGAAAAAGAGTCACTGTCTTGAAACTATAGCCACGCGTCCCTCAGGAGGCCAGACGTGAGGAGGAGCAGAAGAGCAAGTCCATTACTCGTGGCTATCCTCGTACCTGTGGAGGACAACAAAACCACATTGAGACATTCATTTTTAAAATAAATAAAATGCATAAAATGATGCTATTTTAAAAAATGCTAATTTTTAAGGAGTGTCCTACAATCAGTTTATGCATCCAAGGTCATAAAGCTTTTTAGTTTTCTCACGATAACCATTGTAACATCAACTCTTTTCTCACAGTGTCTGAAACGGTTCAGTCTCTCTAAACTCCGCCTCTCTGAGAGATGCTCGGCTCTGATTGGTCAGACGGTCTAGTCTGCTGTGATTGGTCGACCTTCTCGACATGAACTTCCAGTCTCCGATAAATTACAGTGTTTGAGGGCGTGTCATTATGCAAATGTGTTACATTGTTACATGGTATCTACAGTAAGACTGTAATTGCTGATGACTCAAGAATCGCTTCTTTTGTTTTTTGTTTTCGTTTGACCTTTAAAACTTCGCAATTCACAAACAGCGATATTACCCACTACATGAAAGGTAACATTTTAAAATCTTTCACTGAAATAAAACAAAATAAAAGAAACAAACAGTTTTTTTTCCATCGAGTTGCCCTCTAAAACAACTAAAGCAAAAACTGAAATAAAAAGTATAAAGCTATATAGACATATGCTACTAAAGATGGCAAAAACACAACTAAATTGCAACAACTTGAAATTAGATTTTAAATATGAATAAAAACTATAATAGCATCTCAGAACAACAAGGAGTTTTATACAGCGCCATGTCTTTGAGCGTTTTTAGCCATAATACGTTCTGTATGAATAGTCCACATTCATTTGTGTTACACAAACGCTGATGTGTTTGGACTATTTTGGACAAGGTGTTTCATTAGAGTACCTGCACATTCCCAGGTTCGTGGGTTATTTTGGCCCTCATTATGTAAGCTATTGCATTCATTCTGCACGTCTGACAGCATTTAATAACCGTATGCAAATGTGCTCTAGTACGGAAGAGACACCCAGCCCTATGACAAACCGTAAAGATGGGCTCCTCGCACCTCTTTTTAATATTACTATTTTTTCTTTTTGACAAAGTGCAATCAAAACATCTCTAAGCCACCCGGGTGCCGTGCAGAGAACGCTCTGGTTTTATTGGTCTGCATCTACCTATTCACAGAAGCCTTGTGCTGAAAGCTCCCCACATAAATCAAGCTGAAGACTGCCATTACACCATGAAAAGGGATTAATGCGCACAGCCTCCCTGCACTTTTCTAAAGGCTTTTCAGAGTATTTTTAAAACACCTATGTGCTGACAGATGAGAAAGAACGACTGCAGGTATGTGTCGGAGGCAAGTTTAGAAATGGTTTCATTTAATAAAATGCTGTTTTTTAGTGGTGCAAGAACGTGTAAAAAAGTGGCAACCTGCAACTTATCTTTTTTATTTATGTATTTTTTTGGTTTAACCCATTCAAATGAATTTTGTTGGTTTAAGATTTGGTATCTGATTCATGAAATAAAGCTATATTTTTGATATGAATGAAATTGTATATGATGTAAAAATCATGTTCCATTTCTCGAAACTGTAAACTATAAATACGCCTGAATTTTTGAACTGCATTTCTCCTATTTTTCTCCTTTGAACAGTGAAATGAGGTGGGATGAAGGCCTAAAGACTTCAAAGCAACTGCGATCTGATTCCACTCTCGACTTATTGCATTCCTGCCTCGACTACAGAGAAGAACAAGGGAAGCTCAAGGATGCATGCTGCCCATAAAAGCCCCGAAAACAAGGCAACAAAAAGGAGATGGAAAATGAAATATTCACTAAATCACGGTGACATTTAAGGGATTTTTTCCGTCAGAACAAGCAGGGCAATGTTCCTCGGGGATCTCATTCCCTGAAATAGAGGAGGAACCCCCCGTGACCCGCTACTCTTCTCTGCCAGATCGCATTTGCCCCGAGGTGATCAAGCCGGACGGGAGCGATCCTGAAACAAGCATTCGCATCGGACCGAAGCTTCCCTCCCTCTTCCGCTCGCGGGGAATAATGAATCACTCCTGCCGGGCCGCTTTACCCTGCAACGCGCTGTCGATTATGCACGCCATCTATACGTTCATTACCAGTCGAGTCTGATTAGCTGTAAGGGAGAGTGTGTTCACGGCAGAATGTCATCATCTATAATTAACGCGCGCTGATGTTGTGGTAGTGAAGTTCCTTGAAGGTTAACAGAGTTCAAAGTACTCGTGTTAGACGTGCAAAGGTACAATATGAAGCCGTTAATAGTATATAGCTTTGATTCTACACGCTGTACAAATGATATGATCGAAGAACCTTCATGCAATCGATTTGAGATCGTCTTGATGTTGGAGAGATCAGAGCTTGCTTCGTTCTTGTTCTCCATCTTTGTCTTCGGCTCAAACGGTCAGAGATAATCTCTGATATTTCTGATGGTTCAGCAGGTTTGGCTGTAATTCAGGATTTGGTGCTATTCAAATAATGCGCTGAACATTGAATTAAATCGGCCACGGCGCACACGACGTTGAAATCATGTCCTTTCAATATTGTCTGACTCACCTTAATGTAAGGCTCATTATTATGCGGGTCTCTCTAAGGTGAGAATCACCTAATTATTCATGAGGAGGGCTGGCCTGTTCACGCCCATTCGCATATCGCCTTGGCAAACAAAAAATATAGTGTTTTTTCACGATATAAACCAATTCACAGTTTTATGTGAACGATTAGGAGGATGATTTTCAGATCATTGTGAAGAAAAAACTTTAGGCCACAACATTCATTAGTCAAAAGTCTTGTGTACGCATATTTCATATGGCCTTATTTCAGAAATTTTCATTTTTAGTTTTTTCAATAACCACGCATAAACAATATTCTCTCAAAAATACAAACATGTACATGTTGCTCACATATTATGGTAGCCCTGTTTGTGCTAAATAGAGTGTAATTTCACCTGAGCCATTAATATGTTTATAAGCAACTGAAAAAGCACAAATGTCAGAACATCTCAAGGACCCCACATACACGGGGGTTAAAATCGTCCATTTATGTTTGTGATTTTGCTGCATCCACTCACAAAAATAAATGTTTTATATATTTACGGTGGGAAATTTACAAGATATCTTCATGGAACATGATCTTTACTTAATATTATGATGAGTTTTGGCATAAAAGAGAAATCTACAATTTTGACCCATCGCCACTAATATACCGCACGACTCAAGACTGGTTTTGATGTCCAGGGTCACAACCAGTGTTGGGTGTAACTAATTACTAAGTAATTAGTTACTGTAATTTAATTACTTTTCCCTTGAAAATGTAAAGTAAGGGATTACTCTTCATTTATCTGTAATTTAATTACAGTTACTTCTGATGTAATTGAGGTAAATACTGTGTATAGACCAATCCGATCTCACAGAGATTCGTATGCGTTTTATGAGGGATCTAAATATTACGACCGCACTCGTACAAATTCGTATGAATTATTGTAAAATATGTCATGAGATCAGACATAAAACAATAGTGGGTTTAACATCAAAATGTATTTTCTGATGTTAAAAAGTATGTTTATATAATGTAACCTTCTCCACCGTGGTCAGTTTAAGGATAATTCGTGCAATTTTATAGTATTTATTTGAAAGAATTAAAACAGATTCATGTCTATCCTTGTATTATTCCGCTGGTTGAGATTGATATGGGATAGTGAAAATAATTAGTAATTAAAAGTCATTAAATACATTTTAGAGAGAGTAATTTGTACAGTAATCTAATTACATTGTTGAAGAGGTAATTTTTTAGAGTAACTTACTCAACACTGGTGACAAGTAATAATGAAACCATGGAAATGCACATGAATGCATTTTCCTGTAAAACCGGGGCTGTCCCTCACCTGAGCTGTGCTGGTGTGTGTGGGAGTGGGCCGTCTGAGAGGTAGAAGTGGACTGGGATCTCTGGTCTGAGCTCATGTTGCTGTCCTGGCCCAGACCCGGGCTGTTCTTACGGGGTTTCTTGTCGGTCAGGTGCAGCGGCGAGCTCTTCTTCACGGCCCGGCTCCGCGGGCGCGCGGTGGCGTTCACTTTCAGGATCGCTTGAGCCTTGTACTCTTTGAGCTCTCCGTCGTTTGCGTCCGTGACTCGGCATTCGTACAAACCCTCGTCGTTCTTGCTCACGCCAGAGAGCTGCAGCTTGTGGGAGATGTCGTTGCCTTGGACCTTGACTGTCTGTGAAGAGAACGGAGGATTAATCCTCGCTGCTCCACACACACTTCATCAGAGCTAGTGTCTTTGGTTTAGATGCCTTTCATAAAGATTTCCTCAGAAAATGCCAAGATCAAGTTATTTAAAGGATTAGTTCACTTTTGAAAAAAACTTTTGCTGATAATTTACTCGCCCCCATGTCATCCAAGATGTCCATGTCTTTCTTTCCTCAGTTGAAAAGAAATTAAGGTTTTTGATGAAAACATTCCAGGATTTTTTCTCCATATAATGGACTTCAATGGGAACCAAACGGTCCGAGGTCCAAAAGACAGTTTCAGTGCAAACTGTTCAAAGGGCTTTAAACGATTCCAGACGATGAATAAGGGTCTTATCATGCGAAACGATCGGTTATTTCAATGCTTATTCCAAAAATGTAACTTTTCTAAGGACAAATGCTAGCCTTGCTCTATTCTGTGAGGCGCGTTTGTAACGTCACGTAATACGTAATTACGCTCAAAAGGTCACGGGTGACGTAGCCGGAAGTACAGAGTCAGTGTTTACAAGTTGAACGCATAGGTTGAACGTGCAAACTAACTCAAACGCCGTTTACAATAAAAGGAATTAAAAGGTAAAACAACGATGTCGGACGATTTTGACTCTGTACTTCCGGCTACGTCGCCCGTGACCTTTTGAACGTAATTACGTATTACGTGACGTTACAAACGCGCCTCACAGAATAGAGCAAGGCTAGCATTTGTCCTTAGAAAAGTTACATTTTTGGAATAAGTTTTGAAATAAGCGATCGTTTCGCATGATAAGTCCCTTATTCATCGTCTGGTGTCGTTTAAAGACATTTGAAGCTGCATCTGAAACTGTTATTAACTGTCTTTTCGACCTTGAACCGTCTGGTTCCCATTGAAGTCCATTATATGGAGAAAAATCCTAGAATGTTTTCATCAAAAACCTTAATTTCTTTTCGACTGAATGACATGGATGACACGGGGGTGGGTAAATTATCAGCAAAAGTTTTTTTTCAAAAGTGAACTAATCCTTTAAGCCTGTAAAGCCTGATCTGGAACCTGTCTGATAGTTTGAGAGTTGTTTTATCCAGTGAAAGTCTGTTTGTATTATTGGACAAACGTCCTCATTCAGCATACGCTTTAAACGTCTTCTGCTGTGAAATATGCTCTGATTATGTCTAGTAAACATAAGAATAACTTTCATATTATTAGTAATATTTCAACTGAACTGAAGGAACTGAGGTTTCATTTTTTTTTTTTTAACTACAGCTTTAAAACCAAGCATTTCAATTTCACGAAGGCATATTATTGGCAGATATTCACATGCAAGTATCTGTTATACTGATATATTTCAGGGATTTACCTCACAATTTCATTTTTTTTGGCCATATAAATATCAGCATATGCAGCAAATTACATGTTTTTGCTCGGTTTGGGATGTTCTGAATAAAACTGTTTCTTTTCTCCATATTCTCACTATATCAGACTACACAGATCATAAAAGACTGATGTATCAAATATGAGACTCAAATATAAACAATATTTTTTTTTAAATGTTCAAGGTTCAAAACACAGTGTGACTGTTATTTCATATTTCTGGCTTTACGAGGTAAAATATTATATGGTCAGTATTGGTAAAATACATATATCAGCTTTATTAAAGGCATTGTTCACCTAAAAATGATCAGAGTATCACTGCACACACAGTCTCTCCCAATACTGACACAGTATATAATAAGCAGAATCGCGTACACTTATTTTGGTCCCTTCTTCATCAGGATCAGGATCTGGAATCAGCTCCATCTGAAACAACAACAACAAGATGGTTTATGGATATATAAAGTTAAAAAATCATCAGCCTTTATTTTGTGGAAAACTGAACCGTTTCCGATTACTAAACGTGTCTCATTATAAATCAAGTGAAAAGCTGAAATCATCGTCCACATGTGAAGATGAAGCAACACACACACTTTAAAGTTATTAATATACTGTGTCAATTCACTGTCGGACAGAAGAGAGAGAGAGAGCGAGCGAGTGTATTCATACATCAGAAAACGACAAACACTAGTGATGAACGTCACTTGTTCAATTGATTGCCTTTATATTTTAATGTTTTATTTTTAATTTATTTAGAAAAAAATCGCAAAGAACTGTATTACACGCTTAACAATGACAGTCAGCTGAGATTCAGTATAGAGCTGCACAAAATGTCAGTGAACATTGTCATTAAAGCTGGGTAATAAATATTGAGTTCTCGATATTAATCGATTCTCATTTTTACGAACCGATATCGATTCTTAAATCTCAAGAATCGATTAGTCATCCTGTTTCTTTTGAATGAATGGATCATTGTATCGCGGCTGCGTGCATCCGAAAAATCGCAATAATCTTTGTCCTTTGTTACTATTGATATGAAATAAAGTCTCAATTTTCAAATTACGTCCATTTTCTTTAGAAATTCAAAAACATAAATAGCGTTTTGGCGCTGTGGCGTGAGATCGCTCTGGAGAAGCAGCAGCGCTGATCTCTCTTCCGGCTTAATAATACCAGTCACAGCGCCAAATAAACATGAATGAGCATCTGAAAGTGTGATAGATAGAGTACAACTTATCGAAATCCATATCATGTCACATTGATTCGCTCAATCAGCGTTTCAACCGTGGAAAGACGTCAGTTCAACAGCTTGTAATCAATATCGTCATATTTACCTCAGAAAACCCACATCAACTCGTTAGTCAGCTAGAAAAATAACTCTAGAGAGGAGCATTTTGCTAAATATATACACCATATTACATATGCGTTATAATCTTAATGTTCTTCAATATTTAATGCATATTTGAATAAATCTGGCAAGTTTTTATGACAGCCACCATTTAAATGTTTATATTTCATATAATCTTATTATAAAGTGTTTGTTTAGCTACAAAACAGTTCATTATTACCTTCATATTAGGTTAATGAAGTCTATAGGCTACAACTGACTCCCATAGTTTACAGCATTTAAGAGATTTGATTCCCTTGAGAAAATTTGCCATTTATTGTAACTGATATCCAAAACAATCGATATTGAATCGAATCGTAATCGAAATCGAATCGAATTGTGAAATTTGTCTCAATACCCAGCCCTAATTGTCATGAGAACGACATGGTTTTATTGAGATATGATTTTGTAAACTGACATTTTATAAATTCTGCCTGTGATATTTTTATTTAATTTTATTTTTTTTATATTAATTGAACATGTCAGTCAGACATTTTTCACTAATGACATTTCACTCTTAGAAAAAAAAGCTATGTTGTGCCGAGTGTGTGTCTTTAATTAATCAGCTAATTAACTTAAGCACAAAAGGTCAAATAATGGAGAACTGAAAATGGCAACATGTTGATTATCGGTTATCATTATCGGCTCAGAAATCCCACGTCTCTGCATCTGTAATTACACAGAGAACATCCCAGAAACATTGAGTTGACCCCACACTCCGTCCCACGACACCATCACACACTTCGAACGCTTCAAGAGCCATTAAAGGAGTAGTTCACTTTTGAATAAAACATGTCTTTCTTTCCTCAGTCGAAAAGAAATTAAGGTTTTTGATGAAAACATTCCAGGATTTTTCTCCATATAATGGACTTCAATGGGAACCAAACGGTTCAAGGTCCAAAAGACAGTTTCAGTGCAAACGATTCAAATGTCTTTAAACGACACCAGACGATGAATAAGGGTCTTATCATGCGAAACGATCGCTTATTTCAAAACTTAGTCCAAAAATGTAACTTTTCTAAGGACAAATGCTAGCCTTGCTCTATTCTGTGAGGCGCGTTTGTAACGTCACGTAATACGTAATTACGTTCAAAAGGTCACGGGCGACGTAGCCGGAAGTACAGAGTCAATGTTTACAAGTTGAACGCATAGGTTGAACGTGCAAACTAACTCAAACGCCGTTTACAAAAAAAGGAATTAAAAGGTAAAACAACGATGTCGGACGATTTTGATTCTGTACTTCCGGCTACGTCGCCCGTGACCTTTTGAGCGTAATTACGTATTACGTGACGTTGCAAACGCGCCTCACAGAATAGAGCAAGGCTAGCATTTGTCCTTAGAAAAGTTACATTTTTGGAATAAGCTTTGAAATAACCGCTCGTTTCGCATGATAAGACCCTTATTCATCGTCTGGTGTCGTTTAAAGACATTTGAACAGTTTGCACTGAAACTGTCATTTGGATCTTGGACCGTTTGGTTCCCATTGAAGTCCATTATATGGAGAAAAATCCTGGAAATGTTTTAATCAAAAAGCTTAATTTCTTTTCGACTGAAGAAAGAAAGACATGGACATCTTGGATGACATGTGGGTGAGTAAATTATCAGCAAAAGTTTTTTCAAAAGTGAACTAATCCTTTAACTGTTTGCTCAGAGGAAGGGGAGCGATGGCGTCTCGGGCGCGAGAGATACAGAAGAATGATTCATTAGAACGGGAACAGATGGCACTCCACTTTCTGCTTTTTAAGGAGTCTGAAATATTCAAAAAGCACCACATCAAAAAACCATCAGCACAAAATCCATCAGGCTAAAGAGGAATGCCGACGACACGGGCCGAATGATGAGATCTGCTGGAGGACATTGCTTTTAAATCAGGCAATAAGGAACAGATTAGATCCATGGTAAACATGTTCATCATTAACGCCAATAATGTCATGTTTGCTTTCGCTCTCGGAGAGTATTATCCGCTCAGGCTTCATCCTGATAACCTTTCGAGTGAACTCCTGGAAATGAGACGTTATGAGCCAATCCCACACCATTTAAACCCGCACATGCTTTATGCGTCGGTTCAGTCAGCATCGTTTGTGACGGCTTTTGGAGAAGCAGTTATTAATACACACACACACACTCTGAAATTAAAGATGCACAGTGAAGAACCAGTTTAATTCCCCCTTCAGTGAACCATTCTTACAGTAAAAGAAGCATTTCATAGTGTGATGGTTCATGGAACCGTCAATATCAATAAAGAACGATTAATTTGACGAGTGTTAGTGTTGATACTCATAGCCAGGGCTTAACATTAACACCTGCCAATCCGCCAAATGCGGGTGGATTTCACCCGTGGCGGCGGGTAACACAGTCGCTCCTGATAGCCACTTTGGCGTGTTGAAAAATTGTAGCGTTGTCAAAAGACATCTGACATAACAAACAAATTGCAATTAGAGAAGATTGAACTCGCGGACTGGCCGTCGGACTGAAGGCTGTTTTCGTCTGCGTTTAATTATCGACTTCATGTGATAATATAGCGATCTTTTTTAAAAGCAGGGGAATCCAGAACATGTGCGCATGATACTATCATACCAAATATGATATCCAGACTTTTGTAAAACAATCATCACACGCGACTGGTCGCATGCACACACACATCAACACAGCGTTCAGTCAGTTCGTGAGTGTGCGTGGCCGATATAAAGAAAAAATAATCTTCATGATTTATGGACACTAGCAGGGCTCCCCTTATGCCACGTCATATCACAACTATATTTCCAGAGTTCATTTTATGTTTAAAATTAATCATATAATGAAAGAAAGCAGGAGATTTTTTTGTGGGAATAATCTGCAAAATAAAGACCTGTAGGACTTGTTTCAGATGGACATATATCCAGTTTATGATAATTATTAAGTTAGAGCTCTGAGGAAATGCTCATGCAAAACAAACAACTCAAAGTCCCCAAAACTGTCATAGGCCCATATGAAGTTGTAATCCTGTTGCCTTAATTCTGGATTTTTTCTTAGAAAAAATAATTTATTCTTTGCTCATTGTTTCTAATGCAGATACTTATTCTACTCTGTATTACAGTACTGCTGTTAAAAAACAAAAACAAAAATGATGCAGCAATTTTATTTTATGTAAGAAGCTATTTTACTGTATGTCTATCTTAATAGACAACATGTTTTCAAAAAAGGAGCTTTACAACAGAGTTAGTCAATTTTAGCATGTTTAACACCCCATTGTCAACTTTAATCATATAATCATAATTTTCCAACAACAAAAATGCGCTAGTAAAAGTGCTGCGTGGCTAGTTTTTAAAAAAATGCACTTTAATGATGTCAAATTAAAAGTACATTTTATTAATGTTACATTTTAATCTTCCGACGTGCTTTAAAGAAGTTAGTGTTAGACCAACAGCGTTTCATTCAATTGTACATTTAAAGTTAATATATTTAAATTGCAACTTCAATATTATAAATATGTAAATTATTAATGCATTTGAACACATGACAAATCATTTTCATTTTAGTTTACCTTCAGTGTTTGTCAGTAGATTCGACTTTATTTCGACGTTTCTATGAAATGACATATACATGCACTGAAGTCCTGCTAAACTTCAATTGATTTTATATAAATAAAACATTCTGATGTAATTGCAATAAGCTTGCAGTTAAAGGTCCAAAAACATAATATATTTTAAAAGAATACATCCACAATAAGTATAAGGATGTTAAAGTATATTGGGGTGAAACTGGGAACTGGCCTTTTCAAAGTAATTTTACCAATATTAAAAGGTTTTCCAAGACCATTTACGTCATCTGTTCACGTTTCATCCACTACTAAAGACAAGGGAGATAAAATAAGGGGGAAATCCATGAATAAATCCTCTAAAAAAAAAAAAAAAAGTGTTTTATAAACGTAATTTGTCATAACACTGCCCAAAGTTAGACAAAAAAATGAAATGGCATATAGAGTAAAAGATAATCAAATAATTATAATTTAATGTTTACTGAGAAGCAAAACTGCACAAGATATTAAAACATCAGTTTTTAG